ACAAGCGATTAAATGAGGCTGTGGTACCTATTTGAACCAACTTTTAACATCTTATACACTGACTTGTGTCACAAAAGACAGTAAGCCAATTCTTTATAGTGCTTGACCTATCAGAAAAGCTATCTTCAGTTTTTTATGCGTCTGTTTTAAGTTTTAACCTTTGAACTATGATTGTGTTTTGTATGTAAATTTAAACATTATCATCTTTTGAAGTCTTTATATGATAGATAATGATTCTCTATGTCTATCATCTAAAGACCGTGGAAGATGAAAATGTATAAATTTATACTACGTATATAAAAACAATAATAGTTCACTTTCCTTTGCATTTCCTTGAAGAAACACAGAGTATAAAAGATGAACATTCCCAAACATGTAGAGCAAATATTTATTGAGTTTTTGCGTATCATTATTTACACAACATTTTTGCATTCAATTTTCCTTTGTTTTCCATATCACGTATTATTTTGCCTACAATATTAGGGAGATGTGAGAAGTAAAAGTTGTAAAGGTATTATTTAGTGCATTGCAACTTTCTTATGTCAGTCTTGTCACTCTTGTGTCCGTCGTAGCTGGTGTCTGATGTCACTCTTCTTATTTAGCGCATCACAACTTTCTTATGTCAGTATGACCCCAATAAAAAAGGGATTACTGAGGATGTTTTTACTTGGTCTGTAATTTGCTGGTCTGGTCTGATCTGGTCTGGTCTGGTCTGAACTGGTCTGGTTTCTTTGTATTTTTATAACTATCCAAGTCTGGTCTGAACTGGTCTGGTCTGGACTGGTCTGGTCTGGGGCAAATTACAGTCCAAGTAAAAACATCCTGAGTATCAGTCTTGTCCATAGTTGTCATGTCGCATGGCGATCGCCATGGTTCAAAGCCATTTTTCATGGCGCATGGCGATGGCGCATATACGAACAGCGTATAAGGCGCATATGGCGCTATGGCGATGCTCACTTTTTCATGGCGATGGCGCATATGGCGCGCACCATATCTCGCCATTGACTACTATGGTCTTGTCACTCTTGTGTTTTGTGTCATCATCATCATCACCCCAGTGCCGCAAAGGCTCTCACCTATGGTAGGGTAAGGGGGTCAGATGTACGCAGCCTTACCCCTATACTTTCCTATACTAAAGCACAAAGAGACTGTTTCCGGATGACCCATAGTGGAAATCGTGTCGAAATTTTCATTGACTGACTGTTGCTTCATAACAAAGAAGCGCAAACAGTTTAGTGAGTCATTTTGCTTTATTTCATCATATTTCCAAGCCAAAAAATAGCAAGTCTTTGGCTCCATGGCAAATGATGGATGTAAGGCACTACCGAAACCAATTAAGAAGTTACAGATTAAACCATTTGCATGTGTTACAAGGCTAGTTATGATTGAAATGTATTCTTGTTAATATTTTGTACTTGGCAGGTATCTTAGCATGTTTAGATGGATACATGAATATTGCTATGGAGCAAACAGAAGAATATGTAAATGGACAACTGAAGAACAAATATGGAGATGCCTTCATACGAGGAAATAACGGTAATCATCTTTAAATCAATCCTTTCTTTATATTTGAATTTTAGTTGTAAAACAGGCTCTCTTTTTAATTAAATGCAGTACTCTATATCAGCACAACGAAGAGGACCTTGGCTGAGGGGGCGTAGTGTGATGGCTGGCGTTTTTTGTTGCCTGTAATCAAGAAATTTCAAGCTGCATTTATCTTTTTCGGTCACAGTTAGGGAGTGTTTGCAAGAACTTGTGCTTTTCAAAAGTGATTTATTTAAGAGATTATTGGAAAAGTGATTTTAAGTAAAAGTGGGTAGTGTTTGAAGATAAAAGTGATTTTAATTAAAATGTAAAAGTTGGAGTGTTTGTTAAAAAAGTGATTGTTGATATGATATTTTGTTAAAGACAAAAATGTCCTTTCTATACCTCCACTGACAAGCCATCTTCCATCCTACGAACAATACTGTGCTCCCAAAAGAGAAGACAAAAACCAGTCCAAAAAAAACACAGAAGACCAAAAATCAAACAAAAAATGAATTTGAGAACTCTTCTCCATTTGGTCCAGCCACCCGTGGACTACCCCTTTTGAAGTAGATGAGGAGCTCCTATTCTGTTCCATGAACCCCAACTTGAAAAAGCGGCGTCCAAGTCATCCCACCAGATCCACTCGGATTTGTGGTGAGCCATCGTCGCGGCCCAGGCCGACGGAACTGTAGCCCAAAAGCAGAACATCTTGGGATGAGAACGGCATGAATTCGACAGTAATCCACCCTATTCTTGAAGAGGCAGAGTTGTAAATGGTCTCCGATCTTGTTTTTGCACGGCGTCGCCGGAATCTTGACCACCGGACTCCGGTTGGGTATGGCAGTGACCGGTGGTGGGGGTTCATGGAACATAAGCAGTCCGGTCAATGAGGCAACAACGCCAACAAGGTCTGACACAAAGGGAAATGAAGGGAGGGTAGTTTGGGTTTAATCAAAATAGTTGTCTAATAATTACCCTCAAACTTGTAATTATTTACAAAAAAAACCTAGAAGCTATTAAAAGCATCCCTATACATGCTTTGAGCTTTTGGCTTAAAAGCACTTTAAATTAAGTTGAAGTTGGGTCTTGCAAACACCATTTTTAGCTTATTTTAGAAAATAAGTTGAAAAGCACTTTTCAAAAGTGTTTGAAAACACTGCCTTAGTAGCATTAAAAATGTGTAGTAGAATTAAAGAAATGTGGATGAATCAATGCCCCTTTTGGGCATGAGGCTTTTATCGGTTAAATGACCGGATTAAGGTGGATTTTAAAATGCATGTGGCTTGAGTTCGAGTAATTATTCAACCAAAACATTGTGTTCTCTTGCATTGCTGGAGTATTTTGATTGATAGAATGTAGTTGGGCACAAAAGGATATAAGGTTTTCTCTTGCATTGCATTGCATTGTCCAGTAAGTATTAACTGTCTAAGAGCATCTTTGATGGGATGTGGATTGCACCTCATAAGAAATGTACATGTCACTTATATACACTGCCTATAAAATTGGCATTGACACAAATTTATAAATAATATTTACATTCCAATGGCAAATTACAGTCCAAGTAAAAACATCCTGAGTATCAGTCTTGTCCATAGTTGTCATGTCACATGGCGATCGCCATGGTTCAAAGCCATTTTTCATGGCGCATGGCGATGGCGCATATACGAACAGCGTATAAGGCGCATATGGCGCTATGGCGATGCTCACTTTTTCATGGCGATGGCGCATATGGCGCGCACCATATCTCGCCATTGACTACTATGGTCTTGTCACTCTTGTGTTTTGTGTCATCATCATCATCACCCCAGTGCCGCAAAGGCTCTCACCTATGGTAGGGTAAGGGGGTCAGATGTACGCAGCCTTATATACACTGCCTATAAAATTGGCATTGACACAAATTTATAAATAATATTTACATTCCAATGGCATATTCGGTTTAAAAAGTTGGTTTCCTACTCATGAGCAAAAACATCTGGACGTTATCATGTATTCATGTACGTAGTGCAACTGTTCTAACGTTCTTCAAAAAAAATCTGGAGTACATGATTTTATTTCTACCCTCAAAAGTCAAAACAGCTGCACACACACACACACATTACGTCATTACTCAGTTGATGACTTGATGCCGGAAAAATCAAACCTCAAAGTTTGGCTGGAGTAAAACCTCGAGCTTGGTCAAAGTGTCAAACTCAATTTGCTAACTCGAACCTTTCACTCTTTGTGAATTGTGACTGAGCCGTTCCAAATATGGAGCTCAGGCTGCTCAGCTTGAATTTTAAGCTCGTTTGTTCATTTATTTTTATTTATTAATATAAATTTTAAAATAAATACGGAGTATTTTACTGCCTAATAGTTTACTATATATAAAATCAAGATATTTTATTTAAATTATGTTCACGTACAAAAGATGAAGTTGGTAATTTTTACATAAATTATACACTACGAAAAAGCGTATATCTAATATTCTAATGGAAAAGACCCATTTCAGATTAGGGTATTGAGCTGCTTGAGTTGGATAGTAGAGACTAGAGAGCTCATATTTGGTGTGTCGACTCGTCACTCAGGTAGCTAAGCTCCGGCCTAGCTCAAATAGTTCATGAATTTTGTTTAGGAGAATTCCCTTTACACACTTTTTCTACACGTTTTAGTACACTTACCCCTATTTTCCATGTGCGCACCGACAATTTGTCTAAAAAATACAGAAGTTTTGAAAGTTATGTGTCCACACAAAATAGGGGTGTGTAAAAAATGTATACAACAAGAGTTGTCCATTAGTTCAAAACTTGAAGTTGCACTGAAGATGTATTGTACTCATATATATACCCTCCTAAGGGATATGAAGAAAGCTTTTAGTGCACCCCAGAACCCTATGAAGGGTTAATAGTGTTTGGGCATTAAGATATGAGAAAAAGGTCAAATAAGGTCTTCTACTATTACGGAATTGCCATATAAGGTCATGTACTCAATAAAGTGTCAGATAAATACGTCTACTTATAAAAAGCAATCGGATGAGTCAAAACTACGCGTTGACAACCTCCTAATCCCTATGTTAGCTTACGTGTCATTATTTTTGTCTTGTATTTAAGCAAATCCTGGCCAAATATTTGACAGCAGCTTTATAATCTATTTAAAAAAGATGGCCAAAAGTAGGCTGAAACCGGGATTATGAGGTTGCCAACGGGCCGTTTTGACTCATGTGATTGATTTTACAAGTAGACATATTTATATGACACTTTAATGTATACATGACCTTATGTGACGATTTCATAAGAGTAGAATGCCTCACTTGACCCTTTTCTCTTAAGATATGGATTCGTTTGATGTGTCATTGTGTTGGGAAGAGTACTCATTGTATTTCCTAGTTCCCACTTCCCAGCCCCTACCTCTAGTTATCTGTATTTCGGTCTTCTTCCTAATCTTTCTTCAAATTCAATGTTAAAAGCTGAAAGCAACCAAAAAGCCTTTAGTACGAGTTCAAACAATAAGCCTATCAAGGTATTTTTCAAGAATGAAAAAGAATTTAGAACTTCAAAAGCAGTTTTTGCTTTTTAATTGCTGAATCCAATCAGGGATTTAATTGTGCCCGGGGACTGTAACCCCTACACTTATTCACCCTTTCAGTCATAAACTCATAATGCAGATGCATTTACAGTTCTAGTTATTGGAAGGGATTCCATAGGGGAAGGTTTAACTTTTATTTTTGTAAGTTGGACACATGAGCTAATAATATTAGATGCAACTAGCGGACTATTACATAAGGCGAGAGCCATTAATTTAATAGGAAAAAGGAAAACAAAATTGCAACTTTTGTCATGACTTCCAATCAATATTGCTTTAGGATTTTTGAGACTGAAGAATATGTTCCCACAGCTGCACTTATGATGCCCACAATCACTACTGCAATACTAGTAGCACTCTGCAGCCAAAAAAGAATTGGGACAAGAAAATTTCAACAAAATAAGATTTTTTTCGATACTCCAACTACTAAACACTGGAATTTTTTCCCTGGGTTAGGGTTCCATATTCATCTTATCGTGTCAATAGGAGGGAGGGCTGTGACAATGACGAACCGTGGTTGATATTACAAATTAACAGGATGGAGTACATTAATTCACTAGTAAAAAAATGTTAAATGATGTTGTAGACTTGCAACGCCCAGAAAAACAGTCAAGTGCAGTAATGCTCATGCAAAGTTGAAGTTGTCTTAGTTACCTGTGCCTTTGTAACTTTCTTACCCATGATCTTCAGAAAACACACACTCGGCACGATAACCGACTGAAATAATAACACCAGCATCGGGTCAAAAAAACTTTCAGCTCATCTCAAGAAATTTATGTACAAAATATTTGAGTAGATCTGGAACCAGTATAACTTCATAAGCCTTTCCAGACACTGAAAACTTATTATTATCCCCAACGAAGCATAGTTAACACAATAACTTTCAGGAACCTGACCATATCATACTTGGGATTTAACGTAAAGATAATTTAGGAGATTTGCTTACCAGTAATATACTGAGAAGAGAGCCGATTAAAGCCATCACAAGGCCTGCAACAAGTGTAACTCCTCATGTTATGACAAGCATGGGTGTAGCACAATTTCAGTAAAGACCATTGCTTTCAATTGTGTTGGTCTTTATTAAAAAACATAGAAATATTTCTATGAATGAACTCTTATAGTGACCACCAGAAATTTCTCTCATAGCTATGTCATTAATGGTACGTGAAGGTGATTATGATAGAGTAAAGAAGCAGGATGGTCTTAAATCAGAATAGCAAATCTTTATTCTTTATTCCGGAAATGAAAAAAAAGAGATAACAACGACAAGGTATACCTAGAAGGCAACCTCCAACAGAGATAAACCTCTGCCCAACTATTCTAAATTATTGTAATGACTCCAGATATCGTCCTCTCCTAGTCTAGGACCTTATTTATAATAGATTATTCTGCATAAATAAAGTAAGTGTATCAATATAGATGTCCCATCCCTTAAATTGTGCTACTGTAGCCATTAATGAGTAATCCCACTAATTGTGCTCTTCTTTATATTATGTCTCCTTATTGATTTGCTCCTGATTTGTTTCCATAAACCTTTGATTGCCTTTCCTTTTCCTAGAATATACTATCCAGCCACTTGCACGTGTATCATTGCCGCCGTCCAAGGAAACAGTCTTGTCCACAAGGCTGGTGTGGGGAAACTGACCGCGAAAATCTGCAGCATCCATCCAGGTGGCTTCATCGGTAGGTCTGCCTTCCCAGTGAACCAAAACCTGATGGACCCCATTCATTTTTCTTGAAGCTATAATATCATGAGGAACGAACACTGGGTCTTCAACCACCAAATCCTCTGGAAGTTCTGCTAGAGCGGGATGTTCTCCAGTAACTCGTTTTAGTTGGGAGACATGAAAAACGGGATGGACCTTAGCTGATGGGGGAAGTGCAAGCTTGTAAGCAACTGCACTTAATTTACGGATGATGACAAAAGGACCAAAATATCTTGGGGCCAGTTTTTGATTGATCCTTTTCTGCACTGTGGTCTGCCTGTGCGGTCGGAGCTTAAGGAGGACCTTGTCACCCACCTGAAATTCCAAGTCGCGACGTTTGGCATTGGCAACTTTAACCATTCGCTGTTGAGCCCGCTCCAAATTGTAACGGAGCTGCCGTAGAATCTCATTGCGATCCTCATGATCATCTGCCACTGCAGCCACTTTAAATTCCCCCGGTAAATATTGAGCTAGTGTTGGTGCTGCTCGCCCATACAGTGTCTGAAAAGGGGTATACCCCGCGGCTCCCTGGAAGGAAGTGTTGTACCAGTATTCTGCCCAATGCAAGTAGTGACCCCATTGCTTTGGCTGCTCGGAAGTAAAACACCTTAAATACTGTTCGAGACACCTATTAACAACCTCTGACTGCCCATCGGTTTGTGGGTGATATGACGTACTCATCCGCAGTTTGGTGCCTAACTTGGCAAAAAATTCAGTCCAAAAGTTACTCAAGAAAATTGGGTCCCGATCACTTACTATGGAATGTGGTACCCCATGTAAGCGAACAATTTCCTTGGCAAACACGTCTGCCAAAGATCTGGCAGTAAACGGGTGGCGTAGTCCCACAAAATGTGCATATTTTGTGAAGCGGTCAATGACCACCCAAATGCAATCGAATCCATTGGAGCGAGGGAGGCCCGTGATGAAGTCCATAGCAATGTCTTCCCATATAGCAGATGGAATGGGCAGTGGATGAAGAAGCCCAGCTGGTGACAAGGTCTCATACTTATTTTTTTGACATATGAGACACTCAGATACAAACTGCTGCACCCGTTTCATCATTCCTTTCCAGTACACGTTCGCGGCCAAACGACGGTAGGTTCGATAGGCTCCAGAGTGACCTCCCATAGGTGTTGAGTGAAATTCTTCTAGAAGCTTCGAAATCCAAGGTGAATTGGCTGGGAGAACTATTCGACCCTTGTAAAAAAGTCGCCCATTAATCAACTGGAATGGTGGGCTGCTGGCGGGGTCGCGCTGGAGTTGCTCATAAATAGAGTGCAAATAAGCATCTCTAGAGATAGCTGATTCTAACTCACTCCAATCCGCCCAAACTTGTAGAGAAATCGCAGATAAGTGCATTGTCTCATGCTGACGTGACAATGCATCTGCTGCATTGTTGGTTTTCCCTGGTTTGTATGTAATTTCAAAATCATATCCCAGGAGCTTAGAAATCCAATCTTGTTGAGAGGGTGTGGTGACTCTCTGATGGAGTAGATGTCGTAGGCTTCTGTGGTCGGTTCTGACCACAAACTTTCTGCCTATAAGATATGGCCTCCAGTGCTGAATGGCTAAAACCAGCGCCATCAATTCTTTCTCATAAGCAGATTTGGCCAACGTGCGACCGGACAATGCCTTGCTAAAATATGCAATAGGACGTAGTCCTTGCATCAAAACAGCCCCCACCCCTGTACCGGAGGCATCACATTCAATCAGAAATGGTAGAGAGAAATCTGGGGTTGCAAGAACAGGAGCAGAGGTTACTGCCGCTTTCAGTGCCTCAAAAGCTGATTGGGCAGGTTGCGACCATTGAAATCGGGCTAAAGAATCTTTCTTCAACAAGGCAGTAAGAGGCTGCGCAATCTTACCATAATCCCGAATGAACCGACGGTAGTAGCCAGTGAGCCCTAAGAATCCCCTGACAACCTTGAAAGATTGCGGTTGGGGCCAACGAAGCACACTGCTGATTTTTGAAGGGTCCATAGCTACCCCGAATTGGGATACAATATGCCCAAGATATTCTACTGATGTCTTTCCAAAACTGCACTTTTTTTCATTTGCCTTGAACTGATTGTGCTTCAGAATGCCCATCACCACAGTAAGATGTTGCAAATGGTCTTCCCACGTCACACTATATATTAATATGTCATAAAAAAAAACGAGGACAAAGCGTCGAAGGTATGGACGAAAAATGTCATTCATAATTTGCTGAAAAGTGGCTGGCGCATTCATCAATCCGAAAGGCATGACTAGGAACTCGTAGTGGCCTGAGTGAGTACGGAACGCTGTTTTTGGCACATCTTGAGGAGCCACTCGAATTTGATGATAGCCCGAACGAAGGTCAATTTTAGAGAAATATCGGGCGCCGTGGAGCTCATCCAACATCTCTTGTATGACTGGAATGGGATATTTATTCGGCACCGTAGCTTTGTTTAATTCACGGTAGTCAACGCAAAACCTCCAACTGCCATCTTTTTTCTTGACCAAGAGAACTGGGCTGGAAAATGGGCTAGAGCTGGGTTGTATAATACCTGCAAGCAACATGTCTTCCACCAACCGTTCAATTTCATTTTTTTGACTATGCCCATACCGGTATGGCTTAACACTGACTGGAGTTGTTCCATCCTTCAGAATGATCTGATGGTCATGTAGTCGTGAAGGGGGAAGACCATGTGGCTCTCCAAACACTTGGCAGTGAGTATGTAAGAATGTTGTTAACTGAGTTTGTTGAGCCAAGGAGATATCACTACCTTCATAAGTTGAGAGAGACACGTCATCCAAACTCCAAAAGAGGTAGCAAGTATCGATGTAAGTCATGCGTTCCAGAGAATTGAACGTCATGGGTAGGCGAGACAGAGATGGGTCACCTACCAATTGCACTAACTGGTCGTCCACCTTAAATTTTAAAATCTGCTTGGCAAAATTAGCAGTGACATCCCCCAGAGTCTCCAACCAAGCCATCCCGAGGATGATGTCAACGCCGCCCAATGGAAACAAATAGCAATCTAAAGACATTGTAACTGGTCCCAAATTGACCGGCAACTGTGAGTATTTACCCGACGATTGTTCTTGTCTGCCATCTCCTAATCGTACTCCAAAGCGATGTGTGGTGTTCAAGGGATGGTTGATGTGGTCCTTTAATTTCTCCGAGATGAAGTTGTGGCTAGCTCCACTGTCAACCATGATAACCACCTCTTGGTTTGCGACCCAACCCAAAAACTTTAGGGTTTTGGGTCCATCGATACCTCCAAGTGCTGTCAAGGGCAGATCACAGATAAAAATTTGGGACGAGTCTGCAGGCGGGTGATCAACCTCTAGGCAGTCGGTTGGGTTCATCTCTTTGGAAAGTTCATCTTCATCGTCCTCTGCAATGAGGATCTGGAGCGATTTATTTGGGCAGACGTGCATAGGACTATATTGTTGTTTACAACGAAAACATTGTCCCTTGGCCCGCATGTCCAAATATTCACGGTTGCTGAAACGGCGAACTGGTTTTGACGCAGAAGGCTGCCCCTGGTGTCGGAGAGTAGAAGAAAAATGTTGTGGTGGGCCGTGTGATGAAGTGGTGTGCACCCCTGGATGCTTTTCAGGCTGAGAAGTGGTGGATCTATCAGGCCGGGGCTTTGGGTAAAACAAGGAAGATTGTTTAGTTGGGCCGTACGGTGTTCTCCCATCAATCCCACTTTGCCCAACATCGGAGGACCAGTTTATTTTAATTTCCTTAGCGTTGTTGAAGCCGCCCATGAGGCGACCTGTTGCTGAAAATAGCAACTCCCGTTCCACAGATTTTGCGACATTCATGGCTGTCCGGAGATCAACCACGTCACTTGGTCGGAACTTTACACGAATTTCCGGTTTAAGAGCATTTAGGTATAATCCTAATTGAACATGTGATGCGAGGCCAGGGATTTGTGCCAACCGAGCCCGGAACTCGTTGGTGAAATCAGCAACTGTATCTTCCTGGCGAAGTGCTGCCAACTGTTCAAACAGGGGGCCGGACAGTTCACCGTCAAATTCTTCGAGCAGTTCGCTCTTGAATTGCACCCACGAGAGCAGGGGGTTGTGTTGCTGAAGCCATTGAATCCAATGCAAAGCAGGGCCCTCCATGCTAATGAAAGCCGTCGCCACCTTCAAATCCTCTCGAGTACAGTGAATGGCAAAGAATTGTTCTGCCCGTGCTAGCCATCCCATGGGATCTGTACCAGAGAAAATTGGTAATTTGATATGGTGAATAGGGATTTGACAATCATCTAGAGACGTGGCTCGAGGATGGGGAGTAGTGTCTGTGGACTTCTCCTTCGATGAATCCAGGGTGGAAGCATCCTGAATGTTAGTGCTGGAGTCAAACTGTCCTTTGGCCAGTGATGATTGATTCAGTAACCCAGTCAAGTAGGAAAGGGATTCGTGGATACTGAGGAATTGTTGATTGACTTCTGTACGGAATGCATCCTGACTCTTCTCTAACGCTTCGACTCGTTCATCCATGCGAGTTGCTGGCATCGTCATCCGGCAGGTCGGACCAACTTGATAGAGTAAAGAAGCAGGATGGTCTTAAATCAGAATAGCAAATCTTTATTCTTTATTCCGGAAATGAAAAAAAAGAGATAACAACGACAAGGTATACCTAGAAGGCAACCTCCAACAGAGATAAACCTCTGCCCAACTATTCTAAATTATTGTAATGACTCCAGATATCGTCCTCTCCTAGTCTAGGACCTTATTTATAATAGATTATTCTGCATAAATAAAGTAAGTGTATCAATATAGATGTCCCATCCCTTAAATTGTGCTACTGTAGCCATTAATGAGTAATCCCACTAATTGTGCTCTTCTTTATATTATGTCTCCTTATTGATTTGCTCCTGATTTGTTTCCATAAACCTTTGATTGCCTTTCCTTTTCCTAGAATATACTATCCAGCCACTTGCACGTGTATCAGATTAGGTAAAGTTCATATATTCCTTGGGCATGAGTATGGGATTTTGAGTGATATTAGTAATGTCTAGAGTACCACAATTACTCTGGTCTTATTAAGAGACCAATTATTTGAGTTTGCATTGTAAAACTTAAATATCTTTAGCTCAAGATAAGTCATAATCAAGAAAGTATATTTTATGTTGACGAGAAGTATTTCCTTTAATGTAAGGCACCAAATCAAAAGAAAATTTTGGTTGGGGACAATATACATACCAAAGAAAGGAAGAAGAAATGCAACACAAACAGTTGAACTGAGAAGTAGTGTCCTTAGCATAATAAAACACATTAAGCTACTTGAGATTCTCTCTGGAAGCAACTCCTCCAAGCCTCTAGCCAGTGGATTCATCGCAAGTGCATATTTTGTGAAAGGGTTGATAACCTGTTGAAAATAACAACAATATTTAGCATATAAAATAACCAGAAAATGCATTGATGTGTCTAAGCTACTAAAGAAAGCAATGTAGGAGCAAAACACATGCCGTTGTCCACACAGCAATCTTCGCAGGAATAGAATCAGGTGACATATTCAGGGTGATCTGAGACAGCGTGCTCTGACCGTACAATAGATATCCCATTATGGCCACACTCCCATATAGTGCAACACACAAAATAAAGCTGCATGACAAGTTACTCCAGCATTATTCTTATAAAGCCCAAAACCCGAAATATCATACTCCCTCCGTCCCGAAAAGGTTCGCCAAATTGATTTTTCTTGGTCAATGACATTCAACTTTGACTGATGATATTTTTAATACGAAAATATTTGAAATATGAAAATTATATCAAAATGTTCCTTATTCAAAATATTTTCATAAAAATATAAATTTATAAATTAATACAAATATAATAGCTAAAATCATTGTCCAAAGTTTGCCATCATTGACCAAGAAAAGTCAATATGGCGAACCTTTTTGGGCGGAGGTAGTATAACATTTGGTGCATGGGCCTCAAGCTTAGAAGTTAGAACCCAGGCAATAGGGTGAGGAAATCCATCTCTTAAATGAGATTATATATGAAATTATGAACCGATTTGGATTACATCAATTATGCTAATAGGGTGCTTCTTAGCGTCTAAATGAAACTATATTCCATACCATATGATTATTGCCTTAGTGAATTGCTTTTTGTTGGCCATTGATTGGTAGATATTGGGAAACACACAGTGTCCAGAATAACAAAATCCGTACACACCAACAGCAAACGGGATGCCACTCCAATTCACCAATTGACCTGTTTGGGGCGTTCCAATTCCATCTACAGCACTGAGGAATGCTACAGAAGCTACAATGGCTATAGTTGCAACAACACCACAGGCTGCAGCATGAAGAAATAATAATGTATTTTCTCAGATTATAATATCAAGAACTGCACTTTCAGGGTCTGTTTGCATTCCAGAAAATTCCAAGGAATGATAGTACAAACAAAAACAAAGATGATAGTTTGATTATGTCTATTATTACAAGACAAAATATATGCACTTTTGTTTAAAGTGACCATATCTCATTTCTCGTTGTAGTTTACAAGGTACAACTAAACATAAGTACAACTATTTCCTTAGCAAATTTCTCCAGAATTTTCCATGACCCAAACATACTCTTAACGATACAGAAATGGGAAATCGATAGGCGCACCTGAAAGGTATGATATTAACCGAGCATCCCTCAAAAGGAGGGTTGGTAGAATTATCAGAGCAGTTAGAAGTCCAAATAAATGTGTAGAATCCAGATTTAGACCATTCCAGTTGAAGGAAGCTCCAGGAAATAAATTTGTGAGATTATCTCCCTCCAATATGATATACTCTACGCAGTATGACTAAAATAGTCCAAAATAATATCTGTAAGAGATAAAATTCATGCTGTGAAGCGCTAAACTGAAGGCCATATTCACTTACATATAATTCCGTATACAAAAGCATCTGTACACAAAGCAAATGCAGCAAAATGTCAGCTAATTTAAAAAACAATAGTATTATTTGTCAATATACTAATTTATCTAAACCGAACCAATAGTTTTTCAGCTTCACAGTTTAAGGACTCTATTAAGCTTGAGTTACACATTGAAATATTAAAAGGAAACACATCAGTTTAATCCGTGTGCATTCAGATCTAATTGAATGATCTCAATGCAATTGTGAATCTATTAGATTCAAAACTTACAGCTGTGATAATGCGCCCATATCTTCCGAACGCGGCTTCACCGAGGTCAGGATAAGTTCTCATGCTGTCTCTGCTCTCAAAGCATTGCTTCATAAGATACGCCGTATAGCAACAGATAGCAGCAAAAAGAACCAAAACCACAATGCTAGCCCAGCCAGCTTGTTTTACAGTGAAAGGAGTAGAAAGAATCCCAATTCCAGCCATCACATTGAGCCCTGAATGAGAAATTATTAGAGCCTGATATGACAATACAAATTCATATATTTACTTTGAAAGGTATTACAGTCTACTCTTTACTCACCAGTTATTACCGTTTGTGAGAAGCTACATCCATGGCTAAGAGGAAGCTTCCCGTTGAGTTTTTCATAGTAGGATGACTGTTTTGATGAGATTTCTTCCCTATCAATCATAAAATGTTAAGGAAATGAGGCATGAGCTAGCCCAATGACTGTGAAGTTTGAACCAAGGACCAGAAGTTTGGTTTATCCCTAAGCATGGTCCTGATGAATGCATATATATCATGAATCTCTAGAAGCTCTCTTGAGATGGGATTTCACAATTATTCCACTCGAGACGGCGGTGTATTACATTAATCTCGAAATCTGTCTGCTTTGAGGAGTTTTAACGGTACTGAATTGCTTGTTTAAACTTTACAAACTCTCACATTACTCTTTCCATTAACACTTGAACCCTTGGTATGCTTATACTTATTCGATTGATATCAATTTCTTGGGTTGGTTGCAATCCATGAGCTAAAAAGGTCATTTTTGATATTGTTTCAACTCACACAAAAAGAGTAGAGGGAAGTGCCAAGGCGGGAAGTGGCATCCGACGAAAAACCAAGCCGGGGAAAAAGATAGACGCATGGAAAAATACCCAGAGCATTTCTTTTCTTTTTACCTTTGGTATAAAAAAAGACTTTCTTCAAATAGGCATTCGAACTAACTTATATGAGGCCTTATTCGACCGTCGTCATTTGGTGCGGTTCCCGATGGAATTTTCGTATCTTCTTCATTAAATGTAGTTTACTCATACCATATTTCAGCTAAAAATTCAATCGGGAAGATAGTCAAATGAATTTTTGAAGATAATTGTGCTGTTAAACAACACAATACATTTCAGAAAATCATTTGACTGTCTTCCCGGTATAATTTTTATCTGAAATTTGGCATGGGCAAACTAGACTTAATAAAGAAAGATGTTCAAAAAATTTCATAAAACAATTCCATCAAAAACTTCCCTAAATGGCCAGAGCCTATTTGATCCTTTATCCTATAAAAAATTACCCAAAATAGGAGTAAAAGTAGAGTAAAAATATAAAATAGGACTTCTTACTTTTTATTCCAAAATACGATCATATTACTCATATTTGGAAACATACGTGTTTTTCATTCCATTGTTATCCCTCATTTAAATATGAGTAAAAGGTAGTTAAAAGTCATAATTAAATATTTTAATTCATACTCCGTAATAAATATGTAAAAAATAATAAAATCGAAGAAAAATAATAAATAAATTAATAAAGTATTTGTAAAATAAAAAAAATAAAAAAAATAAAAAGAAAAATAAAAAATAAAAAATTAAAACTAATTAAAATAGTAAAAATCCAAAAAAAATATGGATGCCTTTCACACCGCCTGTACTACCTCCCTGCACCACTACCTCCGATAGGTGTAAAAAATGTCAATTTGTTTTTGTAAAAATGCCATTTTGTCATGAGAGTGCCAAAAAATGGCATATTACTATTTAAGAATGCTGAAATTTTCATTGAAACTGTCATAAATATGGCATTCCTAATGCATGTGGCAATTTTTTCCCCGGTGACTGTAGGTGGTGGGGTGGAAGAGGCGGCGGTGATTTTTTCTTTTTACGTTTTTTATTTCAAAAAATATATATTTTCTTAATTAATTAATTATTATTTCATAAATATTTTATTAATTTTTTTTTTAAGTTTTACGAAATGTTATTTTTGTATGATTTTATTATTAATTTAAACATTTCAATAGTTACAAAGGTATATTTGTCCAAACACATATAATCAATCCTATGAAACATAGTTTATATTTTTGTTCCTATTTGTGCACTCACTTATACTCTTAATGTACAGCTAAAATTCACACTTGCTAATTTCAAAATAATAATACTGCAATTTGTTTATCTTGAATGCTCATCAATTGTTTGAATTTTTTTTAATGTGAATGTTCCTTCTTTTGTTGATGAAAGTTTTTTGACGACATTGACACAAAATATCTCTACTTCAACACACTTGACAAAAATAATCCCTACCCATAAAGTTCAAAATAATAATAATCCCTACTAGTTAACCGTTTCACAAAAATAATCTGAGTGCTAATGGTGTTAACTTTTTCCTTTTTTTTTTAATTTTGAATATATCAAAGAAAAAAATATATGTATAAAAACTAATAGTGGGCCAATACCTTAACAGTAACATTATATATTTTAGTTTAATATTTTTCTAAGATAGATTTAATTTAATATTTAATATTTTTCATAAAATATAATAGAAATATCTGTATTAAATATTCAATATTCTTTATAATTTGTATTAATATTTAATGTAGCATTACTAAAACTACTTTGAAATCTCTATTATAATGAATACCACAAATGAATAGAACTAAAATAAGGATAACGAATAGGAAAAATTGAAAATAATAATCCCAAGTTCCCAACTATGGCCAGTCCTTCAATAATAATCTCAACTATTGATTATTTTTGTACAATCGCAACTATATGGACCATCCACCAATAATGGTCCATGACGGTGACTACCTGCTATAACAGGTCAATTTTAAATTCAAATTAAGTGTATTCTATAAATAATCTGAACTATGCTCGCTCTTCTTTTAATAATCCCAACTATCAATACATTTTTTTTTTTTACAAAAAGTAGAAATAATTATTTAAATTTCAGATTTTAAAATTTAAAAATGAAAGTTTAACTAAATATAAAATGTGTTTCACTTTAGAAACAAAGAATTTTACATTTCATTTTTTTAATTTTATTCCCAGATTTTTTTTTTGCTAAATAATCATTTTTGAATTCTTTTACAATTCACGTTTTTTTAGGAATTTTTAACTACTTTAAAATGATTTAATAGTTTAGGATGATTAACTTTTAATTTTTTTATATATTTTGAAAATAAGTATTACGGAGTAGTATTTTTATCTTTTTCACTTTCTTAGTTTTGAAAATCAAGGTTTTCATTTTTTAATTTGAATTTGTACTAATTTGAACTTCATTTATCCTTCAAAGTTTTTATATTGACCTTTTTACTATCCTTTAAAATATCGTACATGTTATAGAATTTTAATTTTGAAATTCATATAAGTTTTTACATATTCTATAATTATATATTTTATATTCTTTAATTCTACAAGCTATCTAAAAAAGTTATTTAAGTAAAAATAAATTTTTATAATCTCTTTTACCCTTTTATTTATTTATTGAAATTTTAATTTTTTTCTTTGGGTCCATCAAAAGTCGACATATGATAGTTCGGATTATTATAATCTGGTATTTCTTTTTTAATTGGCTGAACAGATAGCCGGTCACATCGGACTATTATTGGCGGAAGGTCCCTAAAGTTGGGATTATTATGAAATAATCGATAATTAAGATTATTATGAGCAGACCGCCAATAGTTGGGATTATTACTATCAATTTTTCCTAACGAATAAAAGAGAAAACAGAATTTGAGGAGTATGTGCTACGTACTATGTAGTGTTCACATATTTCTATTATGTTTTATGAAAAATATTTAATATTATATTGAATGTTTAGTAGAAACAAGATTAAACTCCTATATAATATTGTCAATGTCTATATATATTTTCGCTTCAATATATTTAAAATAAAAATAATGGAAAACTTAACATCATTAGCGCTTAGTTTATTTTTTGAAAACAGTTAATTAGTTGGGATTATTGTTGTGAACTTTTTAGGTAGGCATTATTTTTGTAAAATGTGTAAAACTAGAGATTATTGGTGTCAATTTCGCCAATATTTTATTGTTTACTTCACTTGTATACCATGTTAGCATATTTGTAATTTGTTATGTATAGTAGTTTTGTTTAGAATATATTTTACTAATTTTATCTACTTAATTATGCGCTTTAAAACAAATTAAATGCTTATTTTGTTATATTTTGGTTTGATGTTTAAAGATTTTGTAAGGTTGTTGAGATATGCTTCTCCAATGAGTTTTTTCCATAATAAATCAACAAACATAACTAATTAACTTTATTAATTTGAATTGTAATGTGTTTATTACGTGTAAATATTGATATGATTTTCGGAAATTGTCCTAAATAGGACTAATGAGTTCCTAAAAAGCACAAATAGGACTACTACTTTTAAAATTCCCTAAATAGGACTAAACATTGATTTTCTACCCTAAATACCCCTAAGAGTATTAATTCATAATGAAATGCTTTAATTCATAATAAAATCATAAAAAACGTAAAAAATATTTTAAAAACGTAAAAAAATTATAAAAAAATTATAAAACATTTATAAAATAAAAAATATAATTTTTTTTATTTTTTTTTTAAAATAATAAAAAATAGTAAAAACCCATAAAAATGAAAAAAATTATGGATACCTTTCCCACCGCCTCCCAGCACCACCACCTCCGATTGGTGAAATTTCTTCCATTTTTGGTTAAAAAATGTCATATTTTTCTGAAAATGCCAAAAAGATGGCATAATTACTCTTCAATATGCCAACATTTTCATTGAATATGCCATCATTATGGCATTATTTAAAATGTTGGCATATTTTTCTCCGGTGATGGGAGCTGGTGGTGCTGGGGGTGGCAGGGGGTGGTAATGTTTTTTTTTTGCATTTTATGATTTTCTTTTTATTTTTATATTTTTTTTTTTAAGAAATTATTTTTTAAAAAAAATATTTTTATTAATTTTCTATTATTTTTTCACAATTTTTTGTATTTTTTTCCGATTTTTATTAATTTTTTTATGATTTTATTATTAATTAAAACATTTCACAAGTTACAAGGGTATATTTGTCCAAACACACATTAATAGTCCTATTAAGGGAATTTAAAAAATGTAGTTCTATTTGTGCAATTTTGCCACTTTTTAGTCCTATTTAGGGAATTGACTCTATGATTTTTATGTTGTGCTTAATGAGTAACCTCTTCGTTCCTAAGTTATCTTCCAAAATATATTTGACACGGTGATTAAGATAATGTGTATTGTGTTGTGGAGAGTGGTATTGAGAATAGAGAAATATGTAATAATGTGTAAGAAATGTTGTGAAATACAAATTCTTTGTCAAAAGAGAAATAAAAGATTATATTGGGACGGACAGAAAAAGAAATAATTTAGAAGATAATATCGCTATTTAGAAGAAATGA